TCTGGCATACGCTCGAAACGCTGTCGTACACTGGTGTATACTGGCGCAAAATATGAACGCAGCCCTACTCGTTCAAGTTCTCGGCGCAGTTTGCCGACGGGGGAGGGGGCATTTTGCACTTTCGTTGCTTCACTAGTTCTGGTTTACAAGTCTCACTCTGGTGAAACCTGTGAACTCTTGTGAAGCTGGAGCAAGCTCGTCAAGCCATCATGGTAAAACCTGTCAACTCGAGAGAGGCTGTCTAGATGGGTCGACACGTCGATGGGAAGTCGTTAAAGTGCAAAATGCCCCCCCCCGTCGAAAAACAAGACTCAGGTTCTCTATTACGCAGTCTCAGGAGCTAGCTCGAGCGAACGATTTTGGGGCTCCATTTTGATTGACGTGGGCGCTGCGGCGGTAAAAAAAACGAAGTGAATCTCACTCCTAGAGGCTGGCCCGGCTCTCCCAACTGAACAGGATATACCAGCGGTCCTCTATTCATAAACACAGGTGTGACGCGTTGCATTCACTTCGACTAGAACAGCCTTTTGTCGATTCCGCTTTCGTCTTCCATTTCCTCATCTTTCTGCCTGGTTTCTCGCCCACACAGCAGTGTCTCGCTTTTTTACTCGTCCAATCTTGGGAAATTGTTTACGGTTTTGCTTACTCTTTTCTTCAGTAGTAAGTCAGATAGCATCCAGGAGTTCTTATTTGTACCACGAAACCAGCGGATCGTAATCGGCAATGTATAGCTATACTCACTATTACTACTTGAACTAAATGAAATCTGCTGATTAGAGGGTTTGATCGAACCAGTTATGTGAAGGCGTGGTTTTGTAGCATTACCCGACTCACCACGACTGCTGCTGACTGAATTAATACTCAAGCTTTTTTGAACATAGTATTAGCCGAGACAATATCCTTTCATTCTATAAACCAGTAACTTTGTGTGTCGGTTTGTATGTTTGTATGTATGTATGTATGTTTGTCTGTCCGTCCGCACAATACTTCACGGGTTCAAGTTCGCTGGAGGCGAAAACGACCGCTAGGCAAACCGGTAACCGACTGGGAGGATGTAGCAATCCAATGTTTTGATTGTGATAACAGCCTCCGCTATATAAGACAACCATTCGGTACACTCCGAGCCATTGCACGAGCTGCTGGCGTGGCAGCTGGACGTGTGCTCGTGCGGGGGCAGGGTGGGGTGGGGCCGAGAGGGGGGGGGCACTGGGCGCCCCCCCCCTCTGCTTCCTTCCCCTGCGCGTGCTCAGCCCGATCTGAGCATGCGCAAGAGAAGGAAGCAGAGGGACGGTCCGACTGGAACACTGGGGCGTTTTTTCAAGGTATGATATAGGTTATGGCACAGGAATATGTGGGTGACAAGAACTGCTAGCCGCTGATAAAGGGAGTTAGAGTGGAAAGGACAACATACTCATAACGCGGTACACAGCATCAGTTAGGCGTTGATTTCAGCAAATGATATCAAGGGGAAGGTGGAGAATGCGACGGCGGGTGACAAGAAATGATAACAGCTGATAGGGCCTGATAGAGAACGATGCAGTTGTTGTTCAATCAAACGCTGGAGCCTCTACACCACGAAATTATGGAGTTTTAGTGATAGCGACATTGATGACGGGTGACAAGCAATTTTATCAATTGATAAGTAAAGATAAGGGGACATTCTCACGACATCTCTGACCACTACACTGCCAAAAAAGCCTCTCAGTAAGCGAAATTTTCCCACAGCCATCACTCCTCTGATAGCACTAGAAAATGTACTCATCCCACTAGGGGGGCGTTATGGCCGAAACCAGCACGCCTTCCGCAACTCTGAGGGGTGCAGATTTCGCTAGGTTACTCTGTCTATTATGATTCGACCACTACCGCGCAATATGAGCAGCTCATACAATTAACTAATTCCATCCCGTTATGATGTGCGCCTGGCGAAGCCAGGCCAGCTCGGCGAAGCCGAGCTAAAAAGAAGGAGGAGAGCTCGGCGTCAGCCGGGCGATCCGACTGGTAAGAAGAAAAAGCAACAAAAGCCGTCATTCGCTTTTGCGCCATTAAGTTTCCATTTCAGAAGCTTCGCAATGAGATAAAATGTGAATCATTATAGAAACACAAGATTATGCTACTGAACTAGCCTCTTAAAGTCACCAAATAGTAATCTCATAGGTTTGGAGGGGGGTGGTTGGAGGGGCCGGCATCTACAAGATGGCATGACATGGAAAAACGATATAAAAGCAGAATTTTGGTGAAATGAGGAACCCAGCTAGGTCCAAAGATAAGCGAAAGTAGAAATGTAAACTTAGCAGTACAGCAAGTAACCACCCTCTAAATAACAAGTTAGGCTTTTACGAAGTCTTACTTGCTCGAATGAAAACAGTGCCTCATCCTAACTTGAAATCTCTAAAGCTCAAATCCAGCGGTTTTAGAACTGAGGAAGGGAGCAAAAACATCCTACTGGAAATGACAGGAAAAGAGAGCATAATAAAGCTGTGTAGTGCAGATTAGAACGAAAAGATTCAAAGTGACGGGAATGACATTAAAGGACGCGCGAAAATCCTGATTGGAGCACAATGTGCGCGTAAGCCTTTACCACGCGCCGTGGTCCGGGGTTGAGATCCCGACTCGGGTTCCGCTCAGGCCAACCAAGAATCCTGCCCTCTGGGAGCGGTGACTTGGTCGCGGATTCGTCCGGGAGCGTAACAACACTGTTCTGCACATCCGCTAGCGCCGCTAGTCATTGACTGAGATAAGAAATATCTTCAAGAAGTCAATTTCTTAAAATGTTCAATTTGGGGCTCGTTCCCTGATGATACACTTTGGATCCTCAATGAGGATATTTACTGCCGATTTATGTGGAAAGGAAACTTAAAAGTAGTGGGGTCATGCTCAAAGTTACCATTTTTCTTTCAAGACAACTGAAGCGTAGCGTCTCCCGAATACCTCCATTAGACGAATTGTTCTGCACAACATTCCCACACTCTGAGATATACTTTTCCTTTTGCCCTTTACCTCAGACACACTCTATCTACCTCCTATACCGGAGGTGGAGGCGCTTTTGTTTTCTATTTTCTTTCTTATTTAGGATAGAAATGAGCAAAAAGCGCGAGAGCTTCACTTGAGGTACGTTTTTATTGCTTCTTTTTTCATTCGTCGAGGTTGTACATGAGGTTTATGAAGTTTTCACCTGTTGATGTCGCGTAAAATGATTAGTGTTTTGGTTCCTAGGTGAGTTTCTTTCTGTTTCTTTTTTTTCTTCGTTGTTTGAACTCGACTTGTAAACTATGAATGTTTTGGAAGTTGGAACAGCTTAGACGATAGGAATTCCTGAGGCGCATGCATAAATTGAAACAATAAAAACAAAAAAAGAAGCTCACCCAGGAAATGGAGTTGGTCTTACCCCGACCTAAAAGGAAGTGAAACCTTCTTACCTCATATTCCAGATCTGCTTATGTGTAGAAAGTCGTAGCTTATCTGTTAGTAGCCCTTATTAAGAGTAAAGAAGGTCTTACAAGTTGAATTCCCTTATTCATCAGGCGAGCATCCACAATAGCGTTGGGGCGCGCGCTGCCATGCACCGACGATCGCGGCGATCGCCGCTGCTGTCGCGAACTATGAACGCTGCCTTACAGCCGTCACAGGGGCTCTTGATTAGGCGGCCAAAGGTCGCGACGCGGCTGCGGCGCGTCACGCGAGCGCGGCGACCAGCTGTTTCCAGCTTATTTTAGCCATTTTCTCCCTGATTTACACTGTTTTGACTGCTTTTTCAATGCTAGTTGTTCCTGTTCTCACCATAGGTGAAACTAGTGGTATGAAGATTCGCTGATTTTTGCGGTACAACTGAAACAGTTAAGCCAACAAATGCCGACAAATACCTGTGAAAAATCGACACTCATTAAGAACATTACATTAAGGCCTTTATTACAAGAACAAAAAAAAAGAATCCACGCCTCAGTACACTTCATAAAGACAAAAAATAACTTACCCTTCAAGAAAAAAAAAATACAGTGAAAATTAGGGAGAAAATGGCCAAATTAGGCTGGAAACAGCTGATCGCCGCGGTCGTGACGCGCTGCAGCCGCGTCGCGACCCTTGGCCGCCTAATCAAGTGCCCGGATGACGACTGTACTTGCTGGCAATCTGCCGCATGAATATCACTAACATCGTAGTGTAGCGTCCCACACTCGAAGCGTTGTATCTGGCAGCAAAAACCCAAATATACGGAATGCTCGATTAGAAGTCGAATGTTCTGCGCACCCTACGGAGGGATTGATAGATTTCTTCCGTTGCCCTTGACTTCAGGTATTTTACAACTGGTACCTTACTACTGGTTAACGATCGACAGTCGTTGAAACAAGTTCACTGAGAAGGAGCTTCAGTGGAATAATTGTTGTAGTGTTAGGAAAAATGATGAAGGTGAACAGTTTATTTCGAGAAAACCGCGTTTTTCGAACACTGAGGAACTCCTCTAAACTGCGCGGTACTCCAACTTCGTGACAGTGGCGTAGATTCGGTTGTAGGTTATTATAGGAACAGTGCTCAAGGTCGAATTGAGTATGGTGTTTGCGTCGTCTTTTGAGCAGAATCTAAATAGTATTCTTGCCTATGATTATACTTACAGAAGCTTTATACCTTATATGGGCGTAACTTCATACCTGTAACCCGTGCGACGTTGGTCTTCATGTGTTTTGATTTCAACTCCAGCATACGTGCATCCATCGACGGCAATTCCATCAGTGAAGTTTACGAATTTCACTTGCACCGTTTTACCGAATGGGGCCTTGAGATGCAACCTTCGAGTCTGTTCACTTTAATTATTTGCTTGCCGTCACGTACCTTGATCCAGTAGTGGCATTTCATAAAGTCCTCACGCGGCAAACCGCCGGCTGCCCGATTGCCTAGGTCGTCGACGAGCGGTGTCCAATCTTTGGTCGCATACAATTCGCGACCGCAATCTTGTGGCTAAATGAAGCTTTCGAGGATAGTTGCAAGTTCGATTTGCAAAATGAACGCTACCTTCTTCTCGCAGAACTGGCCACCGTATCCGCTAGGACATATACATCTGGAACAATCACGAGGATGAGCGAATCCATGATTCTGGCACCGCGTGTATTTACCTTTGCAAGCGTCTGAAACACTACTGTTCATAAGCATTACGACGTAAGCAACCCACCAAAAGTACTACTTACCAGTGCAGTTGTAGTGTGTGTTAAGCATGAGAAGATCGTAGAACGAAATGAAAGGAGATCCCAAGGTCTGTGTATATTGCACGTCCTTTGGCACCATGGTAGGCAGCTTGTTTCTGGTAGCGCTGGAAAAGCGCATTTATTCCCTTCAACGCTAGAATTATGCGTTCATCAGCGTCCCACCTTGTGGCTCCGTAGTGCATCAGGCTACCGTAGTCATATGTCAAATCATAATTGTTATTGGTTGCCGGCGTCTCCAGTGTGAATTGGTCTAGCCAGTCAGGCTGAAGTAGTTAGTGATATTATCAAGCTTTTCCAGCAATACAAAACTTACCTTGATATTTTCTTTGTCAACTGTGATGAACCGATCGCGATCATGTCGCGAGTGCGTGTGGAAGAATCCAAGGGCATGACCCAGCTCGTGGGCAGCGGTTCCGATCTGAAGCATGGAAGAGAACATAACTGCATCATAAGGGCTTTACAAGAAAATGACGTTGTTTTTTGCTGGACTCATTTTTCTGTGAGCACCGTGACCCTAGAAGGAAGATTTCATTAAACACATACCGAGTCACAGCCTTCGCCAAGTGAGAGGTTTTGTACGCCTCCAAGTCTGCCAACGAAAGACCAACATCCATCTTCCATGAACACACGAATGCTGTCCTGAGCTGAAATTTCGGCGTCCAGTGGTATCTTACCATCATCGACAACTTCCAACTTTACCGGAATCGCTTTGTGTGAAGTTGATGCAGGTATTATCCATCCATTCACGCGCCGCTTTCTTGAATACACTCTTAACCTTTTCACCTGCAAGTAGTAAGCTAATTGTTGCCAATATTTTTTGCGTTCATGAACGAGAAGACTACGGGCAGCTGACTTGCAGTTTTGTCGAAAAAGTAGTTGACTCCTTTCGTCCATCTTCTACCAGGGTAATCTTTATCATTGTAAGTCTGCCGTTTGGTACGAGTTCCACTAACATCCGCAGCGATTTGATCTTGTTGTTCCCTTAATACGCTTCATGTTGTCCTTGTCAAGAAAAATCGAAGAAGAGGAGGTACAAACTTTGAAAGGACTCGATGAAATTTAAGGACGGCTACCCTGGAAGAGTGCTCCTGCAATTTGACTTCTCAAGTTGATCTCTTCAATGGAGTCCCCAGCTGGTGAGACTTGATCGATAGTTTTCCTTTTGAACATCTAAAGTATCCATGATTAACATTCATGAAACAGTAAAAGTACAAGTTTCACCTTCAGCCTTTCCACAAGCTCCTTTCTTTGCTCTGGGCTCAGGAGTAAGCTTCTTCAAAATTGCGTCTTTTGTATCCGCTCAACTTTTTCCGGAATTCGAGCATGTTACCATTGAAAACCTACATATAGTTACAAGGAGCTATGCTCAGTTCTCACAGAGTGTCAGAAACATGATACCTCCTTGATGCGATCCATTGTCTTTTTTATCTTGGATGTCACTTTTTCTTTGATTTAGACCCTTGAGCTTTCCGACCGCAAAGAGACTTCTTGAGGTCGAAAAAGTCGGCGCTAACGCACACAGCCACCAGCAAAGCGAGTATGAGAATCCTCATTCTGCAATGAAGAGCTGAGAATACTCTTTAGTGATGTCAGCCGAGTTAGGATGTTGTGTTTGTGATGGAGGATGCCCTGCTCTGTGTTTGCCATCTGTATTTATGCTGTAGCATCAAAAGATCTCAGAGTTTGACATAAGGGGAAGGTGTTCCTGTGACGAAGGTTATATCGGCACAATTCCAGCGCAGAAAAAACTACTGCCGCACCTGTTCTGGCTTATGCCATGGAGTTACAATTTGGTTATAGGATCACTATGAGCAGCTTTTGTCTACAAGAATAGCCAGAACATTGAGATACGAAAATATGAGTGCGGATCCCGGATGGAGTCAAACTGGGATTTCTTGCTCTCTTTTGACTGACATTTTGGAGGCATTTTAGGCTATACTTGCAGTTTTTGAGCACAGAATGCAGAGTTAAGCAGCGAACGCAACGAACACTTCATTCGCTCCGATCACCTTTTCTCTCTGGTTTCTCGCGAGTTGATAGCCAATATGGCTAGTGACGAAAATGGAAGCAACTGTAGCTTTTTCCGTGTTCCTGGTTTACTCAGCAATGAAGTCGTATCTGGTATATAGACCACACTTTAGGTCATTTAACGCCCACATACAATACTACGTAACCTATGGATAATTTTGCGTCCGAATAGGGCGCAGCATTCGATCGACTTCCAGTGTCATACTTTCCTCTATGTGGCGAGGCACAGGTGTCTCACACAAGCGATTGTGCACACAAAGTGGTTGCGTGGGGAACTTATGGCATTTTCTGTAACATCTGCTTTGGGCAGAAGGCAGTTCCCTCCATCAATCGATGGCAATCGTTCTCTCCGGACTGAGGAAAGTATGACACTGGAAGTTGATCGAATACTGCGCCCTATTCGGACGCAAAATGATCCATAGGTTACGTAGTATTGTATGTGGGCGTTAAATGACCTAAAGTGTGGTCCATATACCAGATACGACTTCATTGCAGAGTAAAACCAGGAACACGGAAAAAGCTACAGTTGCTTCCATTTTCGTCACTAGCCATATTGGCTATCAACTCGCGAGAAACCAGAGAGAAAAGGTGATCGGAGCGAATGAGGTGTTTGTTGCGTTCGCTGCTTAAACTCTGCATTCTATGCTCAAAAACTACAGATTGGCCTAAAATGCCTCCAAAATGTCATCAAAAGAGCAAGAAATCCAGTTTGACTCCATCCGGGATCCGCACTCATATTTTCGTATCTCAATGTTCTGGCTATTCTTGTAGACAAAAGCTGCTCATAGTGATCCTATAACCAAATTGTGACTCCATGGCATAAGCCAGAGCAGCTGCGGCAGTAGTTTTTCTCCTGATGTCCCGATATACCTCGTCACAGAACACCTTCCCGTTATGTCAACTCTGAGATCTGAATGTACAGTATAAATACAGTGGAACGAACAGAGCAGCATCCTCCATCAAACACAACTCCTAAACTTCCTGACATCAGCTAAGAGTTCTCAGCTCTTCCATTTGCAGAATGAGGATTCTTCCATACTCGCCTTTGCGTGGTGGCATGTGTGCGTGAGCCGCCGACTTTTTCGACCTCAGAAGTCACATTGCCGGTCGGAAGCCTCAAGCGGTCCCTAATCAAAGAAAAAGTACATCCAAGATAAAAAAGACAATGGATCGCATCAAGGAGGTATCATGTTTCTGACACTCTGTGAGAACTGAGCATAGCTCCTTGTAACTATATGTAGGTTTTCAATGGTAACATGCTCGAATTCCGGAAAAAGTTGAGCGGATACAAAGACGCAATTTTGAAGAAGCTTACTCTGAGCCCAGAGCAAAGAAAGGAGCTTGTGGAAAGGCTGAAGGTGAAACTTGTACTTTTACTGTTTCATGAATGTTAATCATGGATACTTTAGATGTTCAAAAGGAAAACTATCGATCAAGTCTCACCAGCTGGGGACTCCATTGAAGAGATCAACTTGAGAAGTCAAATTGCAGGAGCACTCTTCCAGGGAGATATTGGTCCTTTTCAAGTTTGTACTCTCTTCTTTGATTTCTTGACAAGGACAACATGAAGCGTATTAAGGGAACAACAAGATCAAATTCGCTGCGGATGTTAGTGGAACTCGTACCAAACGGCAGACTTACAATGATAAAGATTACCCTGGTAGAAGATGGACGAAAGGAGTCAACTACTTTTTCGACAAAAGTGCAAGTCAGCTGCCCGTAGTCTTCTCGTTCATGAACGCAAAAAATATTGGCAACAATTAGCTTACTACTTGCAGGTGAAAAGGTTAAGAGTGTATTCAAGAAAGCGGCGCGTGAATGGATGGATAATACCTGCATCAACTTCACACAAAGCGATTCCGGTAAAGTTGGAAGTTGTCGATGATGGTAAGATACCACTGGACGCCGAAATTTCAGCTCAGGACAGCATTCGTGTGTTCATGGAAGATGGATGTTGGTCTTTCGTTGGCAGACTTGGAGGCATACAAAACCTATCACTTGGCGAAGGCTGGTGACTCGGTATGTGTTTTAATGAATCTTCCTTCTAGGGTCACGGTGCTCACAGAAAAATGAGTGCAGCAAAGAACAACGTCATTTTCTTGCAAAGCCCTTATGATGCAGTTTGTTCTCTTCCATGCTTCAGATCGGAACCGCTGCCCACGAGCTGGGTCATGCCCTTGGATTCTCTTCACACGCACTCGCGACATGATCGCGATCGGTTCATCACAGTTGACAAAGAAAATATCAAGGTAAGTTTTGGATTTCATGGAAACGCTTCATAATGTCACTGAATACTTCAGCCTGACTGGCTAGACCAATTCACACTGGAGACGCCGGCAACCAATAACAATTATGATTTAACATATGACTACGGTAGCCTGATGCACTACGGAGCCACAAGGTGGGACGCTGATGAACGCATAATTCTAGCGTTGAAGGGAATAAATGCGCTTTTCCAGCGCTACCAGAAACAAGCTGCCTACCATGGTGCCAAAGGACGTGCAATATACACAGACCTTGGGATCTCCTTTCATTTCGTTCTACGATCTTCTCATGCTTAACACACACTACAACTGCACTGGTAAGTAGTACTTTTGGTGGTTTGCTACCTCGTAACGCTTATGAACAGTAGTGTTTCAGACGCTTGCAAAGGTAAATACACGCGGTGCCAGAATCATGGATTCGCTCATCCTCGTGATTGTTCCAGATGTATATGTCCTAGCGGATACGGTGGCCAGTTCTGCGAGAAGAAGGTAGCGTTCATTTTGCGAATCGAACTTGCAACTATCCTCGAAAGCTTCATTTAGCCACAAGATTGCGGTCGCGAATTGAATGCGACCAAAGATTGGACACCGCTCGTCGACGACCTAGGCAATCGGGCAGCCGGCGGTTTGCCGCGTGAGGACTTTATGAAATGCCACTACTGGATCAAGGTACGTGACGGCAAGCAAATACTTAAAGTGAACAGACTCGAGGATTGCATCTCAAGGCCCCATTCGGTAAAACGGTCCAAGTAAAATTCGTAAACTTCACTGATGGAATTGCCGTCGATGGATGCACGTATGCTGGAGTTGAAATCAAAACACATGAAGACCAACGTCGCACGGGTTACAGGTATGAAGTTGCGCCCATATAAGGTATAAAGCTTCTGTAAGTATAATCATAGGCAAGAATACTATTTAGATTCTGCTCAAAAGACGACGCAAACACCATACTCAATTCGACCTTGAGCACTGTTCCTATAATAACCTACAACCGAATCTACGCCACTGTCACGAAGTTGGAGTACCGCGCGCAGTTTAGAGGAGTTCCTCAGTGTTCGAAAAACGCGGTTTTCTCGAAATAAACTGTTCACCTTCATCATTTTTCCTAACACTACAACAATTATTCCACTGAAGCTCCTTCTCAGTGAGCTTTTTCCTCAGTGAGCTTGAGGGATTTTTTAAAGACTGTCGATCCTTAACCCTAGTGAGGTACCTGAAAGTCAAGGGCAAAGAAAGAATGTGATCAATCCCCTCCCCTCTGTAAGATATGCAGAACATTTGATTTACACTCGAAACAGTGGGAGTATTTGGGTTTTGATTGTCCTGTACAAAAACTTTGAGTGTTGAATACTACAATCTACACTACGATGTATTGGATATTTATGCGGCAGAAGATCGGTCAGCAAAGTAGCGCTTAGTGATGGAAAGGACAAACTGGTGGATGGCTTTTGAGACCCAGGTACAGTGAACGATCTTTTCATCTTGAGGGGAAGAGGCGCAACGCAACTCTTATTGCTAAAGACTAAGGGCTGGCTTGTAGTAGGATGTTGCCGTTTTGAGACCATTGTAATCATGTCTTTGTCCTAGGCAGGATGACCGTTGCCTCAATTTCGCGGCAGCGCTGCAAGTGGGTCTGATCCACACCCATATTTTCTACATCGATACCAAGTGCAGTTGTGTCTGGAACAAAGCACATCATGAATATGAGTCCACATCAGAAATTGTAAACGCAGCTGTATTCTGTTGGTTGGGTTTTCTCCGATGACTTTCCCATTGGGGGGGGGCTGTGTATATACTTTGATTGTAGATGGTGGGAATCACATGGAGAAAAAGAAAAAGGGGCTCGAGAAGAGAGGGGTGCTGAAAGAAACTGTTTCTGATGAGCGGAAGAATGCGCGGAAAGAGGAGGCCAATCCGTCTTTTTGGGGACAATACGTGGAAGAGAATGCACAGTGCTGTATCCTGTCATGCCTCTAGCGACTGGCGCCATTCGATACCCAGCAGTCCTTGGTTCGCATTCTTCCAAAACGCCAATTCCCTTAAAGCATAGGTCGGTACCTATTATACATTTAACTTCTCGCGCTTCTCCCAAAACGCCGATTCTCTCGATTCGCAAAGTATGAACACACGCTGACGGTCATTGTTCTGGATAACTAGGGTATTCGTATGTGCACAAACTTTCTACCTCTGAGACGGCGTAGGTGTAGCATCTGAACATGGCACAGGATGGGTTACTACTGCGATACTTCGATTTCGGATATACACGGTCTGGTCGACGATGATCTCCGAAGTTTCCATGGCCGCGAGCGACACCCGCGCAGGATCTTCGGTTGCACTTAGGTTTCGGCGTGAAAGGCAGCTTTGGTCCGGACTTCACGTTTCTGTCGGTGCAGCTCTTCTACATTGGCGACGTTCTCAAGAATCACTGTGGGTTCGCGCTGGGCGCGGCCATGGCCCTTAGAAAACTGCACTCTGCGAGTCTTGACGTGCACTTAAATGAATATTTTGAGGAATACAGGGTGACCAAAAAGTTTTGGCAATTTTTCGAAATACTTTGATATCGTAAAAAGCGCCATTTAATTAACTTTTAACCAGCGAACCTGAACTTTCGGAAATCTTCATTAGACCAGTAGCGATGACGGTGTACAGAGAAACCTCAACATGTTTTTAGATGCCTCCTTTGCTTCCCAGATTGAAGCTCGCAGGATGCGTCGTCTGGTCGGTGCTGGTCGCTTGAAAAATGTGCTCTTCACCGACGAAAAATTCCCACGATCGAGCCTGTACACAACCACCAGAATTGTCTGTACTACTCAAGAAGGGTCAGCAGAAGACAACGGCAGCGAAACCCGTCGGCCATAGGCACTTTCCAGCCTCAGTCATGGTCTGGGCTGGGATCTGTGTCACCGGAAAACCTCCACTCGTCTTCATCGACCGTAACCTTAAAATCAATGCTGCTAACTATCAAACAGTGCGTTCTTCGCGATGTACTGAAGCCATGGACGTCGCAGAACTTTGGCTTCATGATTGGAATTTGTGCTTCAGCAAAACTGGGCTCCACTGTAGTCTGCCCAATCCACCCGCGAAGAGCTGCTTCCGGGATTTTGGGGCGAGGACATTTATCCTTCCAACTCGCCTGACCTGAACCCGATGGATTACTCCGTTTAGTCTATCTTGGAGCAGAAAATCTCAGGAATCCAATGCGTGACGGGTGATCATTTGAAAGCAG